TTTGTACTGGATAAATCTTGTTTGTATTGTATTGCTAGCTTCAGCCATAGGTTATTCAGGGGAAATAGATTGGTGGGTCTGTACTTGATGCAAAGTCAAAGCTCACTGTCTCTGAAGTGGGACTGAACCGAATATCCTGAAGATCAAGTTATGTGACAAGACACAGAAATGCAAGATGCAAGTATATGTGTTTAACACAAATAAACTTCTCTGTCTTCTGTGTACAAATCATAAGTTCATCTTTTTCACCTTCACAGATTTCAATGTAGTCTAGAAATGGATCTGGGCAATGAGCTGAATATGCTGCTGCTTACTGCTTCCAGTTTCTGATGCAGTTGCTACAGTCAGCAGTAAGCTTTGCTGAGCCAGCAGCTTCACAACAGCTCCGACTGCTCTGCAGGACCCCTGGCTCACCTGGATCAGTAATTACCCTCCGTAGAGCAGCAATGCAGTGCCCCAGGTGTGGCATCAGTCTGTGCTTCATCGTGTTGCCCAAAGAAGCGGTGGGTGCCCAAGGCCAGGTTGGATGGGGCTCTGGGCAGCCTGAAATGGCGGGTGGCAACTCAGGCAGAGGGTTGGATCTAGATAATCCTTCAGGTCTCTTTCAACCCTGGGCCACTTGTGATTTGGAAGGCCAAGATTCACTTTTTCCTCCCTCACTTTGCCATTCTTCCTCCAGTGCTCCAGTGCTCAAACCCAGAGCCAGAGCCGAGGTCGTGTTTTTTTTCAAACTCTGTCTCTTCCTCGGGTTGACTTGATTCACTGGCCTGTGCGTGCCGTGCCGGCGTGCTCCGAGAACAGCTGATAGAATCCAGGATCTCCCTTTTCCCTTCCCTCCTCCCAAGGCAACAGCTACGCATGTCCCCTGCTCTGCTGCGTCACGTCGGCCTTGGCCAGCACCAGTCTCGTGCTCCCGATGGCAGCCCAGCTTCCCAGATGTCACCACCACTTAACAGCAGCTGAAATCCCTCAGTTAAAGCTGGGTCTGGCCAGAAACGCTGCTGCTGACGCAAAGCCATGAATCAGCCTTTATAAGGGGATAAGAATGTGAGTTTGAGACGGGAGAGGAAGGGGAAGGGAAGTTTATATGGAAAAGAAGGAGCAGAGGGGAGCTGAGGGGCAGCAGGAAGTTGGGAAGCCTGGGGCTGCTACAGAGGGTTAGGGAATGTAGGGAGCATGCTGACTTCTCTGGAGAGATGGCAATTTATTTGTCATTTGACAGAAGCACAGTGCAAATAAATCAGTCCCTTTTGGGGCGGTCTGTATGAGGGAGGGACACATGGAATATTTCCTCTGCATGGGGATATTTTATGTTTATTTATGAGGAAAAAGGTGTATTTACTACTCAAAAAAATGTAGGTCCTGACTACCTCATTCTGTGTATTCATACATTGTATTCTAAGCATGGCTTTCCTCCAGAGTATAAACTTCCTTATGCTCAAACTTCTGTGGTCTGGCTGCAGTGCAGTAATACCTGCTGTTCATTTTTTTTTCTCAGAAAACAAGCTGACTTTACATTTTGGAAAATCTGGAAGAATTACTGCAAGCATTTGTTTCCATGATGAGCACGGTTCTTTCATATAGCAGTGATGCTCCTCTGGTGTAGCTTTGAGGATAGAGGGTGCTGTCAGCTCGTGTTTTTGTTCAAGCATTGCATGAGGGCAGCAGAGTTCTCCCTCTAGATGAGGCTGTTCTCATACGCTGTTGTTCTGGTGCCTGAGTGCTGGGATATGACAACAGCCTCATTACTGTGGAGAAGTTTCTGGTTCTAGAGCAGAGCTTGACCAATGAGCAAGGCACAGGCTGAGCACTGATGGATGAGGATAATACCAAATTGCTGTCTCCTATATTGAGCATCATCCATTCTGGGCGAGGCAGCTGTCTTAGATAAAAATAGTTGGCATTTATATGGCTCAGTGGGGTATTGTTACACACAAGAACTGCAGTAAGAACAAGCACCCAGAGTTAAGGCTTTTCTCTATTTTATGAGCGCCTGCATTATATCCTCAGTGCTGTTCTGTTGCTGTGGTGTGATGTATTTATGACTGTTTGACTCTAGAGTCTCCCGGAGGCCTGAGCTGCAAAGAAGTCACAAAGAAATTGCACCAAATGTATTCTTTATAAAAGCAAAGACTCCTTTTCGATCAATCTCATGATTTTTATTTAAGTGTCTGGAGTGAGCACAGCTTAATGCAAATTCCTGAGCGTAATCACATCAGAGGAAATGTCCCTTGAGCAGTCAATGCACCAGGTCAGGTTGCCCGTGGCCCCATCCAACCTGGCTTTGAACACCTCAAAGATGGGGCATCCACAACTTCTTTGGTCAGTCTGGGTAGCAGAGAAGACCATCTGAGTAGCTGCAGACATTATCTACAAGCCCCGAGCTTGAAATCCTGCAGCAAAGCCTTGCCTGCAAGGGGCTGTTTGTATCAAACGGCAAAGACAGGAGACAGAGAGGTGCTCAGCAGTGGAAAGGGGCAATAGGAAAAGCTACAGATATCCAAAGCTTTACGCAAACGGTTCTCTGCTCAGCTCTACAGGGAACATCCTGGGAAACAGGGTGCAGTGCCCTGAGCAGCAGTTTTCCTTGCACTATATTTGTGTGTTTCGTGGCATTGTTGCTGATTGACCTCTCTGAGCTTCTCCATGTGTTTGTCCTGTAGGGGAGGTTCATGGGATGGGAAGAAGAGCAGGGCTCACTGCTGGTTCTACAGTGATGGAGAAAAGTGGGAGCTTGGGTTTCTTGTTTCTCCTTGTTAGGTTCACCTTGATTCTTTTTTCTCAGCAGTGATTTTATGTCCTCATTGATAAGCTGATCCTCGAGGCCTGCCTGGATGCTGTGCTGGTTGAGGGCTGAGGACTATCTGCAGAGAGGAGTGGTTGTCACGGGGTTGGAAGGGACCTCCAGAGATCATCGAGTCCAACCCCCCTGCCAAAGCAGGTTCCCTACAGCAGGTTGCACAGGTAGGCATCCAGGCAGGTCTTGAACATCTCCAGAGAAGGAGACTCCACCACCTCCCTGGGCAGCCTGTCACTGATCCTAGTCCTGAAAATATATTAGCAGAAATCGTGTGAAACATCTGTGGAGATGAGGGAGAGAGAATGTGATGACTCACTTGGAGCATGTTAGATACAGCCAATGCGCTCCAAATATAGCTTTAAAATGAGTGTTTTGTTTGTTCAAACATCACAATTGACAGTGGCATCTTGAGTGCTTTTTTGGTACCCATCACTCAGATTAGACCCTGTGGTTGGGGTCTGCTTCTCTTCTGTCATCTGCAGTTAGCCAAATTCAGCAACGGAGAGGCTCAGTGCTATAATGCTACTTTTATGGCGATATGGATTTTGCTTAGCATAAAAGAAGACATGAAAACCCTGCAGGGCAGGAAGAAATGACTCGGCACCGCAGTTCTGTCCCATCTAATCAGATCTGTGCTATACTCCACTTATGCTGAGGTCTAAATGAGTTTCCCCTACTCCTCCCCCTCATGCTCAGTCCTTAAATGTCCCTGACATCAGCTCATTCATACAACCACTTCTCACATCTTCTGCCTCTCCCTGAGCTGCTACCATAAGCTTTCTCCTCACCCTTCCCTTTGGGCATCTGTCCTGCTCCTCCCAGCAAGATCTCCCCGTCTCCAGATCTCCAAATCTCCTTGACTTCTGCCTTTCCACTGGGCAGATTTCCCATTGCTGTGCTCTGGAGCTGCAGCTCATCATTTTAGTGGGTAAGTGCACGCTGTCCATTTTCCCCTTCCTTTACCTACTGAAAACTGCAGGCACACTGCTCTTTCTCCTAGAGCTCTGCATTCAGCCCCATCTGGCATGCTGTGTTCTTGCTTGCCGTGTGAAATGGTGTGTGGTCACAGGGCTTCCTTGCTCCCTCCTTAATACACAGCAGCTTGAGATTTTTAGGAATGCTGTGTTTAACTAAAAATAGTCCAGACAGTTCAGTGGACCACGAGAGATTCCTCCCTCAGAGAAAATTGGCTTTGTTCTGAGATGGAGTCAAAGGTCAAGGTAAAAGGAAAAAAACCTTGGGGAAAAAAAAGGGTTGATTGTGGATTGTAAATGATTGTTTTCAAATGATTTCATTGACCTTTTGCTGCTTTTGCTTGAGTGTTTTTCTTCTCCAGTCTCAGGCGTTGTTTTGTGCTGGTTGGGTACAGGTTATGTTGAGGTTTTCGCCTTCCTGCTTTGACCTCTGTCTATGAAGGTGTAAAGAAAAATCTAATTGGAAGTAAGGTCATTATTAAGGCCATTATTTCTGTGGCTGGGCAGAGCTTACTTATGACAAGAATCAGGAAGCAAACCTTTCCTCTACGCTGTACTTGTGTTGGACACTGAGCCCTTGATGCCTCTGATGGGAACAGGGACCTACAAGATTCATCTGTAACTTTTCCAGTTCTGCTACAGTTACTGCAAGGAACAACACTGCAACTCATTGTCTTTGAGAAGCCACCTGCACAATGGCAGTTTTGGCACTGAAAGCATAAATTCTGTGGAGGAGTCACCATTTAAGCCTGGGCTTGCAAAACAAAGAAGGAAATCCACCAGTCACCACTAATTAATTTTATTTTGAAATATTTACTTGGACTGCAGTAGTAGCTGCACTTAAGCCTTTAAAGGATTAGCTGCCTGCTACTCGTTTGTGCCTGCAACCATTTATTTAAGCTGTTGCTGCAAATCATGCTGTTAACCTGTCAACCAAGGATTTAACCTTTCTGTCCTTGTTGGTGAGAAATGTGTGGTACACAGAGTCTTGCTGACGTGATAGGGAACTTCTAGAGGGAGCCCAGTGGAAGGCCCCGAAGTTGACCAGGGGCAAGGGGCACGTCTCTTACAAGGAAAGGCTGAGACCTGGGGCTTGGCATTCACCTCTGTGCATTTCCACGTGCTCTCACCTGGGGCAAATCCCTCCTCTCTCTCTCACTGACCCATCAGATGGGATCAGCATTTTCATTGCACTGCATCCCGACATTCAGTTGCGTCCTCAAAGGAGGACGTCTGTTTTTGACTCACATCCACAGCTGTCTGAGGTGGTGAATTCTTGAAGCTGATGGCCTGCTGCTCTCCAGGGAGTTTATCATTCCTTGAGCAGTCCGGGCGCTTCCCATCCCTCTTTCATTGGGCTGGAAGCACTGAACCAGGAGGGAATACAGGCTGCGTGCACGTCCCTTCACCACAGCTGCCAGAGGGAAAATAATTTAACAGTGGGAAGACAGGTCAGAACTTGGAAAAACTCCTCTTCCTGACGTATCAAACTGGCACTAATTATGATGAGTAGCAGAGAGGCCGGATTTGAGGCAGGGAAGAGTTAACCAGAGGAAGGGCAGATTGCTGGGGAGAAGTTGGAGTTCATTGTTCCAGGCTCCTGTGAATTTCCTTTTTGTCCTTTCATCTCCTGAGTCTTGGCTCTCATCACAAGAGGCTGCTTCTCCTTCCTTTTTCTAATTTTATCTGCACTGTGAGCCCTTCAAGGCATGGACTGTACCTTACCCTGTGTGCAGAGTGGCACAGTGGGAAAACTCCCTCAGTAGGAAGCTATAAATAGCGAGCCCACCCAGCCCTGTGGCATCCACGCTTGCTGTAATTGCCTACTTTGCACTCCTGTGACAAGTGTTAGTTCAGCTGTCAGGGAAAGAAGGAACTGGAGAAGATTGCCACAGTTTCCAGCTCTGCATTTGCCCACTGAGCCCTGGTTCGGGCCCAGCAATCCCTCCTGCCTCAGCGAGTTCTTCTAGCCAAGGCAGTGACGATTCCCATGAAGCATCCTGTCAGCGTGGTTCGGACAGTGACAGCTCAGAAGAAGCTTTTAGAGGGCTTGTTGCGGTCCTGTTTCCATCTCTGACTCATGCCTCAGTGCTACACTCATTTATTTTGTCTTCTGCCACTTGCTAGAGGGGATTGATTCCGCAACAATCACTTTTCTATCATTCCTGACATCACTGCTTGTTTTTGTTACCATGTGATGAACAAAATGAGTCACAGCAGATCGCAGATAAAAGCAACGCCACCGTCCCAGATCGTCCTCCCTGAACAGACTGGAAGTAATGAAAAGGTTAAGGCAAGGATTGTCTGTTATCACTGCTCTGAGATACGAGTAAACAACCACAAAAGTGCTGCTGACCTTTACAAAGCAAAGGATCTTCATTTGAATTCCCAGGGGAGGTGACTTAACGTAACCTATTTCACACTATGCTGCAAAACTCCTCTAATGGCCTTCCAAATGATTTTCACATAGCACAATGCCCACACCCTTCTGGAAGTGAGTTAAGTAAGAATAAGTCATTCTTGGCCCGGCTCTGTCCGTACACATTTGTCAACAGAAGCTCCATTTACTGCTACAGCTTTGAACAGCAGCCAGTCACGATCTTGATATAAGATGGCAAAACTCAGCATTTCTCCTGCCTGAACATCACTGCTCCCAGTGACACAGGCTTCATCTGATGGGTGGCTGCAAGCAAAATGCCAGTGTGAACGTGGAGCAGCAAAGCAAAAATGTCCAGAGCTGTTAGCCACGTGCTTTTTGCAGTTCTGCTGCTGCCATCATGAAATCTCAGGGTCAGGAGACATGGCTCCAGCAATTCAGCAGTATTGGCAGCTGGAACCTGATAGAAAAAGGGAACAGGGAGGACAAAGGCATGCTGCTTTCCTGCATCTACTCTTCCCAATGTGTAAGGACTCCCCATTGTGTGTGACAGGAAGACTAGGAGTGAGCTCTGAGATGTGGCTAAGTCTGTCTTCTCCATCCTCAGGCCTTACACCTGACAGAAGGTTCAGTCCCATCTCTTTGGTACAGCCCCTGAGGTACCAAACAGCATCAAGAAAATTCGCTTCCCATCCAGAGCACGAGCTGGTTTAGTGTTGCTGTAAGCATTCCCTATTACTTGCACTTCCCCACATTTGCCAACAACGTTTTGATGCACACTGTGCGTTCCGCGCAGCAGTGTGATCAGAGCAGCCCTCCTGTGAGCAGCACGGGAAGCTCCTGGGTTGTTCTGCCAGAATCTGGACTCCATTTGCAGAATACATGCATGCACAAAAGCCAAGGAGGGCCTCCTCTCTCTGAAAGCTATCAGAGCGAAGACCATCTTGATGAGAACAGTAGGGATCCAACAATTCTGCGGCTATGCAGAATTTTTCTTCTCTTTGCTTATTGATTTATTATGTGAATTCTGGCAACTGTAACTTTGCAGCCCCTGCGATTTATCTTTCTATATAGCAAGCACAGCAGTACATCTCCCTCTTGGATCGCTGGCTGAAACCTCAGTAATTTGAGTACTTGGACCAAAGCAGTCTGAGGTCCTTGGAGCAAAAAGACCTATTGGCATTGAGAGCACTTTGCACTAATTAAACCTCATAGAACTCTTCCTGGGTCTCAGAATCTCCATTTGCAGATAACAAAATGGAGGATTTAGCTCAGATCAGGAAGTATGTCGTTAAGTTTTTAAATACTTCTTAGAATGAATTTTTTTGCAAGCTCTAATTCTGTATAGCACTATGGGGGTAGGAAAAAAAACAGCAATCCAGTCAGGACTGTCCACAAGATCAACTAAAAATCCATGTAGGTCAAAGAAAACTGAAGTGGTATTTTCCACTAGGTGGTGGCAGACAGCATTTCTTAAGGATTTTTTTACCTTCTAGGATAGAAACCCAGGGTCTGCTCAGTTCAGTGTTGTCTTCACTTCATACTCCAGAAGAAAAACTGTCACAGCTGGTGACCTACAGACTGCCTTTTCTCAGGCTCCTTTCTCCTCTTAGGCAGCTGTGGAAATGCCAGGGCTTTGTTTTTATTTTGTACAATCCAGTAGAGAGATGTTATTCGTTGTCCATGTGTATGTTCAATGCTGGGCAGTTCTAAACTCCTCAACACCACCTGTGGGATCCATAGAAAATACTGTTAAAGTGATTGAGGCAAATTTCTTTTTTATTATTATTTTTTATTATGATAATTTTTTTATTTTGTTGCTTTTTTTTTTTTTTTTGACAAAATCAGAAGGGCAGTTGGAAAATTCCTACAGATCCCAGCTCCAAAACAACCATCTCTGCATATAACTGGATGTGAGGTGGAATTTACTCTTTTGGAGATCCTGTATTCAGATCAATGACTCATGTCCAAATGGAGGTGACGTTCCAGTTTAAACTGGGAATTTTGAGTAAACAGAGGAGATGCCAGCCAAAAAGACTTCAGCATTTAAATTTATGCCAGTAACCTACGAACTGCATCTCAAGAAAGCCCTGACCTTCTCTAGTCCTGTCCTTACCACTTTATTTTTAAAGAGCCATGAAGAAACAAACAAAACAAAACTGGCATGCTTGGGGAACATACTCATTAGTTACCCAGACTATCACAGTAATCTTGCATTCTCTGGCTGCAGAGAAGGACACCCAGCTCAGCAGACCTGGAGTTTGACATGGGCACAACCTCACCACAAAATCAAGTTCCTACTTGCATGCTGTTGTTGAGGCGTTCCAGTGATTCAAGCTGGCAAAAATCACAACACGCTCCTTGCTCATGTACTCCCTACTTGTTACTACTGTGATTACATTAATACTATAATATTTATCCTGCTTTATGAAAGCAAGCATAATGACCGATTAGCACAAACCACAGAGGGAGGAACTGAGACGACAGGACTGTTAATCTTAGCTGAAGAACTGAGCATTTTCAGAGTACTCACAGGAATTTAGGCAGTTAGGGCAACTTCAGGAGGGATTCAGGAGATGTGTTGTAGATGGACAGGTATTTCACACTGGTTTAATTGGGACAGCAGACATAACGTGGCGTCTGGAGGCAGCAACACTTCACCTATTCAGGTAAATCCAGGTGAGCTCTGAGGACCTCACATCTCTCCCCTTCTGATAAGCTCCTAGATCACATATAAAGGGAAACTACAACAAGAAGGTCAGTCCTTTACATCTCGAAGATCTACACACTGAATGATTAATGGCTGCCGATTTCCCTTTATACTTGCTGTTGTTATGAAGGACACACAAATGCACATCCTGTATCTCTGCTCCCTGCAACTGGTTTATGGTCCCAGGAATCACTCAGACTGAAAGTGTTTATAAAGACCTCATTTTAATAATGAAGGGTGATACATGCCAATAATCCCAGCAAGACAACTTACTCTTCAGCAGCAGGGCAGCATGACCACACCAAGTGGGCTCCGGCTCCCTGACCAGCTGGAATGTCAGGGTATTTTCTGAAATCTGACAACACAGAAAGCCACCTGGAAGGTAATTTGTCTACTTCATGGGAACAAAGGCCTGAAAGTGCTTTTGCTGGGTTTGAGCCCATGGATCCAGGGGATCTAATGGTGTCCCACTCAATTTTTAGAGCACTAACTGCACGTTTATCATCCTTTCTTTGCTTGTCCTTGTGATTATTTAGACCTTGAGGTCTCTATCTGTTAAATTTCAGGCTGACTCGTGAACTTCCCACTCGCAGATCTCTTGCTTACCTGTATTTCACTCTGCAGTCTTCAACTGAGGGACGCTATGTTGGCAAAATTAGAACGTTTATTTTGAATCTGGATTTAAAAGAAATCTTAGAGCTGCGGCTCTGACCATGATTTCTGAACATGAGAAATCCTCACAGGGAGACTGAATCACTGGATACATACAATCCATCTTCCTATACAAACTGCTGTCAGCAGTGAAACTGCTGCAGTCTCAATCAATCTTACAGTACTAAAATGTCTCCTTTATCATGGCTGCACGGTCCTCTGCCCTAACAAACAAAGTCTATTAATGTTTAAAAGCTGCAATTAAATATATGTATATGTTTGGGTTAAAGCCAAGCATTGAGTAATGCTTACGGATCGATACCCATAGTCAAGAGCATACAAAGCAGAAAAGGTGCTTTGTGACTTATCTGTGTCCTGTATAGTCCTGCATATGGTTAATTTGAAAGCCTTTTAGAAGCTTAACAAGGAGAGTACCTCAGTGAATGTGGAACTGAGTGATGCACAAGGATAAGAAACACAAATGCTCCAGGGGCCTCATAGAGTCTACGGTCTTAAAATAAGCTCCTGGGTTTTAGTGGGATCCGATGAAACCCTCTTTACACCGGCAGTGGATGGAAGGGGTCAGACAGCTGGTGAGCAAATACTCAGTAAACACTCTGAGCAGCTAAACTCTGCAAACAGCAACTATTAAGGCAAGGACCTGGAAGATCAACAGAGAATTGCAGGTCTGGGTGAAATGATGCAATGGATTTCAATTAGTGTCACTGGTCCAGAGAGCAGAAGTTTTCCTATTGACTTGGCTTCCAGTTACAGCTACAAGGCACCTTAATCAGAGAACAAAGCGGGCTGGTTTGGGGAGAAAGCTCAGCATCAGTCAATATTATCTCAAGGACACCTACTGTAAGTTAGCACTGCTGCTTGAAGCAGAGCTTTGCCGTGGGAGAAAAAGTAGGAATTATTGGAGATGGCATCGGGCTGTGGCTTCCCAGAAGGGCAGCAAGACATAAAAGGTAGAGTGAGCCAATGGGCCCCAACGCATCCGAGAAGTGTACGCACTCGAAAAGGGCAGAAGACAAATTAATCACAGAACCACAGAATGGCTTCGGACGGAGGGGACCTTACAGATCATCAGCTCCGAGCTGCTTGCCAAGGGCAGCGCTGCCAACCACTGGATCAGGCTGCCCAGATCCCCATCCAGAGACTGGGGCATCCACAACCTCTCTGGGCAAAATTAGAGCAAGTTACCAGTATCAAAATCAATTAAGAATGACATTTATTTATTTATATATATTCATTTTTGGGCCAACAGGCTTGAAGAGAAAGCATACGTCTGTTCCAGTGTGGGCTATTGGAGCAGCAGAGATCTGCCATGGGTCTGAAACGCACAGCTCTGCGCTCCAGGACCGGCCTGCTGTGTGGTGAGGTGCCCATCACTGTTCAAGCAAAAAAGTCTGAAAATGTGAGAAAAATTGAGATTTTAACATGACTTTAAGCCAGAGATTGCAGTGTGTGTGTTGGGGGGCATCTCATATTCAGGGTGCCCACTTCCTTGGAGGGAAGAAAGAATGTCTTTATTGCCATCACTTCTCGTATTAGAAGAGCTGGAGTTATTTACTTATTCATTTATTTATGTATTTTTGATCCTTCGGGTCCCTTCCAACCCAAGCCGTTCTATGAACTCCTCCCAGAAGACGCATGGGCTCAGTGCACCCCGAGCCCGCACCAACACCATTTGCCATAGCGATGCACCTCGGCAGGACTCGCCTGGCCTCAGGATCGCCTCATAACGCGCTCCCGCCACCGTCGCTCGCTGCGGGGCCGCCATGCCGCTCCGACGCTGCTGGAAGGCGGTGGGCGCCATCTTGGCGGGGGCGGAGCGGGGCCCGGCCCGCCCCGTGCTCTGCCTGGCGGGGCGGCCCCGGCCCGGCTCTACTCCCGGCTGCCGACCGAGGGTGCGGAGTCTGGCGCGTTCTCCGTCGCTGCCGCAGCTTCCATCGCCCTCGCCGCCCGCTATGGCAGGTGAGCCCGTCCTCCTCCTCCTGCCGCGCCGAGGCCGCAGCCCGAGGGGCGCCTCCCCCATGGCGCCGTCCGGCAGCCGCCCGCTGTCACCTCCGCGCGCTGCCCTCCGTCTCCTCTCCCTCTCATCCTCTCCTCCTGCCGCCTACCGGGGAGCCTCCACCATGTTGCGGGGCTGCGCCTCACCTTGGCCTGGCGGCTGCTGTGCCATCCGCGTCCCCTTTTTCTCCTTCTTTTTAAACCCCTCCGCGTTCTCCCCTCTCCGAGCCGGGGCTGCCCTGCGGAGGGGCTGCGAGCGGTGGCGCCTGCGGCCGCAGCCACCTGCCGGCTGTGGGGGGCCGTAGGTGTGGGTGTTCTTTTGCGGAGATGATCGTGTCACGCGTCTTTTTTTTTTTTTTTTTTTTTAATTATTTCATTACTGGAAACAAAATGGGTGGCAGAGCCGTCAGCTCGAAGATGGGGTGAAGCAATTCACGTTACTCCCATCCCCCGATTCTCCTCCCCCATCTGTCTGATCCCATTCTCACGATGTGATTTGAGGGTTTTATTTTATCGTTATTATTTTCCTAAATGATTGGGGCTTGTGGGCTGTGTGTTGCTTCCTTTGCAGCTCGAGGCATTTCATATTTCTATTCCTGTTTCGGTCTTTGAGCCCTATCGTGCACAGTTCCCTTTTGTTTTAAGATGTGTTTTGGTGGGGCCAAATGCAGGCAATACAAAATGCCCTGACAAAAAAACCTTGTCGATGAACCTCTGATTGGGTTTCATTACCTACTGGGTAATGCCTCAATACCTGCATTGTGCTTTTCTGTCGTTAGTAGGTTTGTCATAAAGGATGAGCGTGTAGGCAGATTCCTGTCCCTTCATTTTGAAGTATCGTTGTCGTTTTGAAGGCTCAAAGGATGGCTCAGCTTTGAGGGTCTGCTCTTTTCCACACCCAGGCTTTGGGGGTCTGCTCATCACTTTTGTAGATGGGGGAGTGAGGCTGAACACAGAAGGCAGAAGAGACAGAAGCTGCCTCCAGAGCCTATAGAAAATTTTGGCAGGAAAGGGGAAAAATCCTCAAACGTATTTAAGACAAAGTGAAGATCTTCTGTGATCATTTTGGACGTCTTATTGCCTGCTCACACCTCTCGGTATGAGTTCTGTGCCAAATAAAATGCGCGACTTGCTGTTGAACTTGACCACCTGAATTAGAAATAATGCTCTGTTCTCATTTGGAGCTTAACACATCTGTATACCCCCGTGCATCATGGTGTTGCCTTACTTGAGTGAGCTTTAAATTACCCATTTTAAGCTTAAAATAGGAGCTGTTTTGGATAGTGGTTTTGCTGGCACCTGGAGTTTGATGCGGGCTGGAAAACCGAGTGGAGAAGCAGAACAAACGCTGGAGCAGTCTGGAGTGCTGCACTCTGCCAGAGCAAGGCACTAGAACTGCACACCTTAACCTGCTGGGTGATTTCACTAGAAGTAAGGGGTTATTGCAGCAAGCAGCTCAGAGCAGTGCAGCATGAAACAATCCTGGACACGTGTAGAACAATCGGATTTGTAGTTGATGAGCTTTTGCAACTCCCAGTTTCAAGTTGTGATCCAGGTAGCTTGAAATTACAGCAGTGTTAACTGGGAGTTGCGCTGGAACAAATTCAGCCTTGGGTTAGCTGTGAGGTTAAACATCCCCTAAGATTTTTATCGTGGATTTAAACAAGCCTTTGGCTGTAGGAAAGATGCAAATTGGAGTTGAAAATGTCTTGTCAGAGCCCTGGGGATAAGGGAAAGAGCTGGGGTGGGTTGGGTTCCACCTGTTCCTTAACAAGCCAAGTTCTTCAGGTTTAAAACCCATCCCAATCTGTCACTTGTCTTTAAACCTTGCATTCAGCTAGGCTGAGGCTTGGTGCGCGTTTTCTCAAAGGCATTGGCCCTCACATTAAGTAGATACACAGAGCTGGGTGGAAATGTTGTCTGTGCCTTTTCTGCGTTGTCAATACAGAAACAAACCAGAAGGAGAAGCAGCTTTGCACAGAGCAGGATAATTTGGGCTGCAATTTGGTGAACGTTTCTGTGATTGTTATTGTTATTACTTTTTTTTAAGCAAACCCTTTCCAACTGCTAATATGAGATTTTCTATCTTCTGTACTTGAAGCTAACAGGGAGTTGAATTCCAGGAGAGAAACAAGAGTTGTGCGTCTGTTGGTTTTGCTGGGCTGGAGACTGTTTTCTTCGGGAGGAGTTGAAGATACTGGCAGTGTTTGAGGAGGTGGGGAAACCAGAAGGTGATATGACTGTAGGTTTTCCCCGTGTTTGTTTCAGATCTTAGCAGATGACGCTGCGTTTGTGTGCAGTACTGCTTCCCGGCTTGAAAATAAGACAGGCTGGGTTTGCATTCTTTGAGCGTGTCTGTATGTTGTTGTTGTTTTTTTCCTATTATGTCCTGAAGTATTAATTAGCTTCCTTAGTAGCGTGGGTTTCCTTGCTGTGCTGTGGAGCGGGGCTCAGAGGAGCGCTCTCTAGGCTGCCCAGAGCTGCCCGAGGGCAGCTTTATCCATCTTGGGGGAGGATTGCTGAGGAAGCGCCTGCTGAACTGCCCTCATGGCCGGGTCTGAACTGCTGCAGTTGAACTCTTCTGATCCCTGTGTGTACCAGGGGAAGGAAGGCAACACACCCTTGTGAGCTGTTCCATTAAGTGCTGTGTCTTACGCAGGGTGCTTTTGGAAGGTTTTATTCTGCTGCAGCTGTTCCTTTCGATATCTTTGTGAACCACGTATAAAAATCAGTAAGAAAAAACCCAAGACCGAAAAGATTCTCTGGAGCCATTTTCTCCATAGATTTATCTTGCTTTCAAACACTCCTTTGGACGTTTATGGTAGGAAGGGAAAATGCAGATGGCTGCACAAAGCGTTTTTTCTGCCATTGGTGATGATGGTTCTTGTATTGCCGAAAAATTTATTTGTATCAAGTGCTCTTATTTATGGAGCCTTAGTGGTCATGAAACGGCCCGACTGCAGTTACAGCGTGGTTTATTTGACTTGAAAGCTGCAGGAAGAAAATATTGACGGTCAGGATGAGTAAAGAGATGTGCAGCGTGATGGAGCCTAAGGCAGCATGAAAATAAATCACTGAAAATGAAAGCTATTTGCCATGTTCCCGAGCTGTTCCCAGGGGTGGGTTGCATTAAGACATTGTGCTAACTTTGTGTTGCTGCTGGGAATGTGTTTCTTATGCTTCTAAGAAAGTATTATGGCTAAATGTTTCTAGTTGTTAGGAGTGGTCTTATGACAACTGAGTTAAAGGAAGAAAAGTCTGACGATAGGTTATGGGAAGGAAATGTCTGCTATCTGTGTGCTCTTCAGTGAGGGAAGGATCTTAATTGGGAATTTCTTGTTGGTAATTCGGCTGTGAAAGGAGAAGTGGTGCCTCCTTGGGAAAGGGTTGGGCTGTTGGTCCATCACTGATGGGGAAAGGAAGGAAGAGGAGTCCGTGTGAAGTCTCCTGCTCTAGCTTTATACCTTGCACTTGACATGAGAATTTGCAGCTTCCCTTTCCAAACACAGCAGTAAGAATGTATACAGCATCAGAAATACTCTGTGCGCAATGATGTGTTGTGCACATCCTCTGTCCTTCTAATCCAACACGCTTTAGGAGTTAGATCCTGACCAACAGTTCTTCAGTGCTGGATGTTCCATCGGGCCAGGAGGACCAAACCGTTGTCGCGTGCGCCTCAGTGTGATGGCATGGTGGAGTTTTCTCTTGTGCACTGCAGAGGCCGGTGCATCCTTCTCCTTGGGCGATGCTTTGATCTTGTACTTACGTCAGCAAAATGCCAGAGGAGATGAGCTCTGTCTGAGGGTTGTAATTTTAGGAGCAGATTTGTCCGCTTGTCATTGTGTTGAAGGAGCTGTAAGTAGCAACGTGGTACCTTTAGGCACGTTGAACTTCTAGGGGCTGTGACAGCAATACTAGAGTTCATTTATATGCCTGCATACACCTACACAATAATCACACGCGGGTTTAACCAGTGCTTGCTTGCTGTGCCCCTTGTGACTACAGAGACAGTGCTGACTTTGTGCCATTTCCTTTAGGTTGAAGTTGCTTGAAGTGTGGCCTTGAATGAGTATAAATGGTGAAGGAGTGTTTGACTCACATGGTGATGGTTTTGAAATGGAATGACTCATAGGACAGATATCAAATGGCTGAATGTCCCCCCAAGTTCTTGTCTGCATTTCTTTTCACATCAAATTATTGCAGTGCCTGTGTCACATGAACAGTTGGCTGAAGCATTTTGAGAATGAGCTGTAGACAGGAATGCTGTCATAGCAAGGAAATTAAAAAAGCAACTGGAAGGGGTTTCTGTGCACTTGGATTCCTAGGCATTAGCCTTGTGTGTGGATGCTCCGAGTAAGTTAGGACTCTATAAGTAGTAACACATTTTAATTGGGTTTACCCTTAATTGTTGCGTGGCCATGAAATCACAGCCTGGGGCAACGTTTTAGTGGCATGCTGGCTGTTAGTGTGCTTGTAAGGTTACAAAAGTTAAGAGAATAAAGGGCAGTTTGGGAGATTTAAAAAGGTACCCAAAGCAGTCAGTCTTGGCTGTGTTTGTGTGATGAGGTGGTTGATGTGCTGGGAGTTTGCTCCCAACTTCCAATGCTCTGGAATTCCTAGAGAGGAAGGTGCTCCCTAATGCAAGTCTCTGACTTCCTGCTTTTGCTCTGAAGTGTATCTGCTGGGTATTTGTGGTTTTCTGTACAAAACGTAATGATTTTAAGGGCTTCTATGTTCTGGCCTTTTGCCTTGCATTTCAGTATGTAGGTTA